AACCGCAGGGACGTGGATCGCGCGACGCGAAATGCAAGGAGGTAATTTTTAAGTGTAACAAATGACGGTGGATGCAGCTAAAAGTTGAATGTTTTTACCAGAGCATGCACACTGAGAGAAAAAAATACTTAAAAATTGATAAATATTTCTTTGCTGTAGATATACTGTGTGTGTAATTATATATTTACTTAAATCTCTCTAAATTCTTTTAATTAGTTTCATGAAAAGCTAAACTTCTTTTAACGCTTTTCTTAAGATCCAATAAGAAAATATATATTTTCTTACTGAAAAATATTTCGCACATAAATATAAGTAAACATATTAGTATACCGCGCGAAGATATATAAATATTTACTATCTATAGGTTTTCTCTTAGTGTATGACGTGATATATATATATATATATATATATATATATGTATATATGTATATATATATATGTATATAACAATGCTCGCCCCCGCTGTTCATCCCCAATTCTCCTCTCGCGACGTTTCTTTTTATATTCCTCAAAGGCGACGAACGTTCTATGGAAATTTGTAGCTGCTACTCGAAATCAGGTGAAGCGGGCATCCGTGTGATTCGGCCATATAGGGATTTTATTGGATTCCGTCCTACTCTTTTATTGGCTCTCTATGAAACGATCACGACGTCCCCTTTGAGGACCAACGTACACACAGTCGCGCATAAAAATACGTATAACATGCAAGTACATAAATATATCGTACCATCTGACTTTTCGTCGATCTTAAATGTCGAGAGACGGCTCGTGTCCGGTTTACTGAGCTGTTTAATTCGGCGAAGGCAAGGGGAACTTTGAGACGTCTACCGCAAGCAAGTCGGAAAGCGTAAGCCGCTCTCTCTCTCTCTCTCTCTCTCTCTCTCTCTCTCTCTCTCTCTCTCTCTCTCTCTCTCTCTCGCGCGCGCGCGCGCGTCTTTACATGCAAAATACGATATGTCTAACGGGAATGCAAATTGTGAAAAACTCGGAGCCCCGCCATAAAAGCGAGTGCAATGTGCGTGTGCGCGAGATGCAACATTTATAACAGTTTGAACGTGAAATAATTATTAGATTGTGCTAATTAACTGAGTGAGTGAGTGAGCGAGCGAGTGTCTACGTGCATTTAATTCAAAATCGAATTAAATTCTTAATTGAGAAATTTGTTAATTATATCACATTGTAGGATTTGTAATGTTTTACGCGTGATAAGTAGATTGATATATATCGAGTGCTCGATCATGAACAATCAATTATACTCTAAACACAGAGACAACGGTTCGCGATATCCCAGCAGTTGTACGCGTGCTATTGTAACGGCTAATTTCACGCTCCCTGGCCAAATTCTTTTCGGAAGAAGGGGGAGAGGGACCATGTTCAATGACGATCGATTGTGCTAATGATGAGCGAAATTGCGAAACCCTAAGCCAGCTTCTCGATAACATTTGACGAAATGCAATGTTATTAAACTTTATCAGAAAGTCTAGAACTCAGTCGAAACCGGCTGTCTGAGAAGAACACGGAAGCAAAAATAGCCCAGAAGCGATTCGCTGACGGTCGTTTGCAGGGAAATGATGTTATTAGCGGGATAAAACATTCCCTCCCGAAGTTTATTTTGTATGAAGTTATAATTGCAACCACAGAAGCGCGGTCTATCGGCGTTACGGCAACGAGTGGGGCCGAGGGATTCGTAGAAGAATAATCGAAGGATTAAGCCGGAAGATCTGCACGCGATTTTCGTCGGGAAAACCGGACAATCTTTTTCCGCGAGCGACGTAACTGCGCGAGCAACGCGCACTGTACGTCGTACGCGACATCTTTTGTTAACGCGCATCGCTGCACCGCGTATCCGCTGCAGATGCAGTCTTTCGTGTTTATCAGGCGCAGAACAGCGCTCGCTTCGAGGGAGAAATTAATTGGAACGTCAGCGCGAGAGACAAGCTAGTGTTGCAAAATCGCAGCCGGTTAATAAATGTCGTATCCGCGCTTCTCTTACTCACTTTTACGGGTATTGCACCTCGGTATGATTGAAAGAAAATATAGATAAAGAAGGAAAAGAAAGAAGGAAATAAAAAGAAACAACAAAAAAGTCCCATATTCGCAATGTAACCACTTCCGAGGCGGAGAACGCGCTTCTGGCCGCGAATCGAACTGGCTACCGATAAAGGGGGAAAAAACGGCCTGCGGTCGATGGGCAAGATACAAGGCAATATCGATTGAATATTAGGATCTGCGGGGCATGCGGAACTGGCGCGCACACATTAGCCTCTTTGACTTGCTAAATAGGTTAATTTGAATGTTTAAATTCCGGCTCCGTGCAACTCAATTTGCGAGAGGACTCCGCGTCTGGTTAATTCCTTTCCTTCGTCCCGCGAACCACCCCTGCTACCATCTACCCCTTTCCCCGACATCAGCCACCGCCGAAGCCACCATCTCCAGCTGGACTGTTAACTTCCTGCACATTTCTGGCGTCCAACATACGGAACGTCCAACACACGCTCTTTTCCCCCTCCCCCCCGTCTGTTTCCTGCCTCCTCCCTCCGCGACTCTCTTTCTCGCTGTCTCACACTATGTCTCTTTCCCTTTCAAACCACGTCATCCTCCATGTCGCTTAATTGGAGAGTATTATTTGCGCTCTGCTACGTCTGATCTTTTACGCATCATGACTTCTCGATTGCCAGCCTCGCCAGATGCGATAAAAAGGAGGTCGAAGTGCAAATGGAGATTCGGATCGTGTTCGTCGCTTAACATAATTCGCGACAGGCACAGTAGAGAAACCGAGAGGAAACGGTGGAAATTGCGATGAAGATTATGAAACCGCAGGTACGTTATAAAATTTATGTCTATCGAGCCCGCTATACGGTCGGATTATGATTGTCAGAAAAATACTTTCTTTATAAGTTATTATATAATAATAATTAAATATCGGTACGTGAAAACTTCTTATCCTTCTTATCCTATTAAAAAAGTTCTTACTCTTAAAAAATATATTTTTAAAATATCTTTAAAATAATTAAAGAAGTTTGACATAAAAGTAATGTTATTCTTCTCTCTCTCTCTCTCTCTCTCTCTCTCTCTCTCTCTCTCTCTCTCTCTCTCT